TTGTTTGACTGTTTCCTTAAAGCCTTCTTGTCCAATCCATCTCTTGTCAAAGTGAAATCTGGATTGCTTCCTTTCCTTTGGCAGTCCCAAGTCCAGCAGAAGGGCAGAATGATCAGAAGAACTTCTCAGAATGTTGTGGACTGATGCATTCGGAAAGTTTGGAAGCCACTCCAAAGAACCAAAAGATCTGTATAGTTGCTCTTCTATTAACTCTGAATCAGCCCTGTTATTGCACCAAGTGTAAAGGTATCCCTGAAGCCTTATTCCTCCATGTTCATATAATTGGTGAATGAATTGAAAGCTTGAAGGCTGGCAGGACTTCTTGGAATCCCTCCTAATTTTTCATAATTCGAACAAACATCGTTCCAATCACCTATTGCAAACCAACTACTGCCCCAAGCAATTTTGTCTTGCATCAGAGTATTCCATTGATCTGTTCTGATGTTTCTGCAAGAACCCAAGTAAATGAAAATGCCCCATTGAGAACCATGAGGGGGAAGAGAAAATTGAACATCTATATAAAATTCAAAACAAAGAACTTGATGGATTGTTACAACAGAATCCCAAAATAAAGCTAGTCCCCCTCTGAGACCATTGGGGTCAACTAAAGCTACTCTATCATCATAACCTAATTTCTTACTAATACATATTACAAAGGATTTTGGTTTTTTGGTCTCAGACAAAAAAAAAAAAAAAGTGTGGATGGTAAGCTTTTATCAGCTCTCGCATTTGGGAAACTGTAGAGGGCCCACCCAGCCCTCTACAATTCCGCACCACAGCTAACATTGACCCTTGTGGTGCCAATCAAGGCTGGCAACCTCCACCTTTTCCTTTTGAGATTTGCTTTTCTTTGAAGCTGACTGTTCTTGAAGAGAGTTAAGTTCTGTGGATGTATGTTCTTCATCAGGTTCTCTTGGCCTCTTCTCTTTGGTGTCCTGAAGTGGGACTTGTATTGATATTGGAGTTCTGAGCAGTCTACCAGCTTTGCTTCTGTCTCTTTTCCAAGATTTTTGATTCTGGACTGGGTTGGAAACCAAGTTATTTTGAATATTGAGTATAGGTGGTGCAGAGGAGAATCTAGTATCAACTTTCATTGCCTTATTGGATTCAAAAATTTGCAGTGAAAATTCCACCAAAATTTCCTGTTGAGGGATAGGAGTAGTGGATGTCCAAGAGTCTTGGACTCTTTCTTTAGGTCTGGCTAGAGACTGCTCAGGAATGGGGATTATCTGTTGACTTGTTTCAGCTTGTTGAGATTGAGTATTTGGAGGTGATCTCTGTTCATTTAGAGTAGTGGAATCTGGCAGAGGAGATCCTCTGGATGCTGAGCCATTTTGCTCAAACCATTTCTAGGAATAATTGGCTTTCATGAAGTCCTCATATTGTCCCTCTTTCAAACAATTGTTGTTTATATCTGCAAATCTCTTGGAGCATGTCCTGTCAAGATGCCCTATCATTCCACAGTAGTGACATAGGTTTAATAGCTTTTCATACTTAAACCCCACTTTGACTGCTTGATCTCCCAGTCTGATGTTGGCAATCCTTGGTAATGGTTCTTCAAGGTTCAGAGTGACTAGAAAAGATGAATTGAAAATAATTCGTACTTAGCTCTTTGATTTCCATCGGTTGTGCAAGTCGCCAGATATTAGACATAGTCCTCTTGATGCCTATCCAGCTAGCCGGTCTGTCCCCAATTATCTTGCCGAAAAGACTCCTCCTGCATTCATGGGCACTAAGCTTTATATCATTCTGAGCAATGTCTATGAATTTAGCTTCATTTTTAGAAAGAGAAAATCTTTCCAATTGATGAGACAGCTCTTCATCTTGAGTTCCATCCATAATCGCAGAACCCTAAATCCCTAAATGGGGTATAGAGAACGAACAAAAGTACCAATCCCAACCGAGAGAGAAAAGAAAAGGTTGGGTTGTTATCGAATCAATTGCTAAGAGACTGAGAGCGAAGAAGATGATCGAAAAATGTTTGCGAAAATCGGAAAATGGTAGCTCCCACCTGAGAGAATCACGACACCGCTCCCACCTGAGAGAATCACGGCACCGCTCCCACCTGAGAGAATTTATTATGTATGTACTCTTCAATAGTGATATATATTTTATTGTAAAATATTATAATTTTACACAAATTGGAGACAATAAACATTTTATTTCAAAGATGGAACTGCCCATATGTAAAAAGTTAGTAAAATGTATTGTTTAGCTATGAGTGGTTTTAGATTTCATAAATACTTCTGCAAGATGGGCTTAATCAGATCCATGATACTTATTTTTAAGTGACAATTTCATTACAAGACTCAACCTTTTGTAATTATATCAAGTTAAGGCTTAAATTTTTTATTTTTTTTATCAATAGAAGACTTACATTTTAAATTATTCTCAATTTAAGGCTCACTTTTAGTTAACTTTTCATTGTAAGGTTCAACAACTTTTCTTTTTGACGTGTGTAAACCATTAACTTTATTTTATGATATAATAATGTTTTTTTTTTGTAATTTATATTTTACTATGTATAATAAAAATTAATACATGTATTTAGTAAAATTACATTAAAAATGAAATTATATAAATTACAATAATACAAAAGTTTAATAATGATTAGAAAAATATGTAATGAAAATATTATTTTTATTAGTAAACTAAATATGTACTATGGTATCAACTTTTTCTTTAAAAAAAAAGCTACAATGAATGTGACATTATTTAAATATTGTTTTATATTTTATTGCATGTTTGCATTATTAGCATTGTCCAATTTTCCACCCCGATATTGATCACTTTCAAACTAGGTCTGATAATTTGACAGTTAATCAAATTTGGTCTTTTTTATCTGGACCCTGGATAAAAACGTGATGTGGCATTTTTAATTCTGAGATGGCATGATTGTGTATTACCTGGCGGGATTGTGAATATTACTTCAAACATAAATGATCCACGTCAGTTCAAGAACTTAGGTGAAATAGACCAACACTTTTGAAATTGTAAAAAAGTCCATAACACTTATTGAATTTTTAAAATGAGCCCTGCAATTTGTCTTCACCCATTGGCCTCTATCTGCCGCCGCTGTCGTTCGCCGGCCGCCAACCAACCACCGCATATCGGAATTTTTTTTATATCATCTTGAATCTCTTCCCGTCCTTATTCCATCTCCTAAAATTTCAAATAAAAATTCCATCAATAAGGTTGTCAATTACTCTGGTCAAAGCTTGTAAATCTTGAAAATATTGGTAAAAATCTGGCATCTTCTTCTATTTTTCGGCGATACACGGCGACCCACCGAAATCCAAAGACACCTCTGGACTCCTTGGCCGCCACACACCCGATGATATCCACCATCTGCAGAACCGACTAATTCTCCGGCGACCCCTTTTTTTCCAACGAACCGTGTTTTCCAAGGTAGCGAAGAGGAGGGGGCATTGGAGGCATTAATGTTGGTTTAATGGTGAAGTTGTTGTTGATGGACGCACTGTAACACAAGCAATGGTGTCCAGTGGCGAAACCAGGATCCCATTTTGGGGAGGGCCCAATTTGCCTTTAAAAAAAAAATTCACGACAAAAGCAAACACAAAAACAAATTTTCTCTGATCTAGCTTTCCCTCCATGGCTCCATGCCTCCCTGCTCAGCTGCTATGTATTTTCAGATTCTGAATTTCCGGTTGCGCCCCTCCGGCCATCCCGCGGCGCACCACCCCCACTCCGGCATCGGAAGGGCGCTCAAAGGGCGCCCTTCCAGTTCCAGCAAAACCCCCCCACCCCTAGTTCGAAATTATTTTTTTGAAGGGCCGGCGCCTCTCCTACCTTCCATGTGGTTTCGCCCCTGATGGAGTCAGAACTCTGATCGGTTGGTTTTTTTTTGTTGTTGGTTGAATGATGTCGTTGCTGTTGGTTTTTCTCTTTATTCTTTTTTTTTAAAATCTTTTAGTTCTTTTTTTTTTTTGGTTTCAACGTATCTGTATTAGTTATTCGTTTTTTGGTTTTATTTTTATAGGTTTTTTTTTCACTATTTCCAGGTTATTTGAACTTTATTTTTTGTTTTAATTTTTTTTTTTTATTTCCACGTGGCATAATTGAATTATCAAATTCAAATGAAGTTGCCATAGATAAAAGATTGCCACGTCTCGTCACGTCTTTATCCAGGGTCTGCATAAAAAAGAACCAAATTTGATTAAATTGTCCAATTACCGAACTCAATTTGAAAGTGGTCAATATCGGGGTGAAAAATTGGACAGCGGCCAAATTATAGGACGAATTTTGAATTTTTGCCTTTTTCAAATTATCAATTTTTCAAATAATTATTATTAAATTTTTGCATATTTGTAATTCACATAGTTTCATTTTCTTATTAATGTAATTTTACTAAAGATATTTTATATTTTTTTATTATAAAAAACGTGAAATATATTACAAGAAAAAATAATTATAATATTTTTGTTCACATAATAGTCGGTTCACATATTTATGTAAAAAAAAAAAAGTTAATCGAAAAATTAAATAAATAGATAGACCATAAATTGAGAATAATCTAAAATGTAAGTCTTCTATTGAGAAATAATAAAATTCAGGCCTTAAATTGATATAATTACAAAAGGTTTAGTCTTGTATTGAAATTTTTCATTTTCTATGAACAATGCATAACTATGATATGAAATTTAATACATTAAAAGGTTATATTATTTCTAAAATAGATATGACCTTTCAATATATTTATTAAAAACAAGTGATTAGTTAATTTTTAGTTAAATAAGTCTAACATTAATATAAACACTAGGGTCCCACGTTAATTAGTATTAATAAAAAATTCTTGCTTCGCACACAAGAATAATCTAATTCTAACGGAAATAGGAAAAAAAAAATAAAATAAAATAATTAATTCCTATTAGAATTAGGAAAAAACATCAATTTATTTATAAAATGGCGCATGCATGTTACCCTGAACAATTAAAAATATCAATTAATTGTGTATCTTAGTAAAACTCAAGCATATAGCTATGTCTCCGTGTCTTAGGTGTTCCAAATCAGTATTATTGCTGCTCTTCTCCCTACTCTGCCTCTCCTCTCTCCCGCTGTCACCGGCGGCGCCTTCGCCCTCCCCCGCCGATGTGTCCCACTTCGCCTACTACGGCGAGCCCTACCGCTGGCACAAGAGCACCCTCAACTACGCCTTCTCTCCCGACGACCAGGGGATCAACTACCTGGACCCCGCGGAGGTGCGGGCCGTGTTCGCCCGTGCGTTCGCCCGCTGGTCCGCTTACATCCCCGTGACCTTCACCGAGACGGAGGACTACGAACAGGCGGACGTGAAGATCGGGTGGTACAGCGGGGACCACGGGGATGGGACCCCGTTCGACGGGGTGCTCCATGTGCTGGCCCATGCGTTCGGTCCGGGGGACGGGCGGCTCCACCTGGACGCGGACGAGACATGGACTACCGACGTCCGCAAGGAGCGGTCGAAGGATGCGGTGGACCTTGAGTCGGTGGTCATGCACGAGATCGGGCACGTGCTCGGCCTCGACCACTCGTCGGATAAGGATGCCATCATGTACCCGTCCGTGAGGCCGGGGACGAGGAAGGTGGAGCTCGCGGAGGACGACGTGGTGTGGATCCAGACGTTGTATGGGGTGATCCAATTCGACGACGGGCGGCTGAAATCAGACGTGTCGTCGGGCACGGTGGATTTGGAGGGAAGAAAGGGACTGATGAAATGGAGTGCCACGGTGCTGTTCCTGCTTTATATTGCTGCTTCTTTTCTTTAGGTTTATGGTATTGCTTCTGTTTTGATCAAGTTGTGAAATTTTAGAGATTTTCTTTTTTAATGGAAAATTTGTTATCACACTTAAATCACCCTTTCATAA